AAAACTGACATGAAAGCACTTCACAACAACAACGTATTAGTGTGATACACTGGTTACAATTAATGAGCCAATATTGATACATTATTATTGACTAAAGTCCATAGTTTATTTACATTGGGACTCATTTTTGTGTTGTATTTTTCTGTAGGTATTAACGAATGCATAATATCCTATAGCAGTTATTACAGTATCATACTGTATCATACAGAATAGTTCTGCTACCTTAGAATTCCTGTACTCCACCTATTTATTCCTCCCCCTCCCCATGAAGTGATCTTTTAGTATCTCTTTAGCTCTGCCTTTTCCCGAATATGATGGAATCACACGGGTTGTAGCCTTTTAGGCAGGCTTCTTTCACTTAGCACTGTGCACACAAGGTTCCTCCATATTTTTTTTGTTATTTGGTAGTTTATTTCTATTTATTGCTTAGTATGGATACATTTCAGTCTGTTTATGCATTCACCTTTTGAAGGGTATTTTGGTTGCCTCCAGTTTGGGGCAATTATGAACAACACTGTGATCATCATTCGTGTGGAAGCTGTTGTGTGGACGTTAGTTTTCAAATCAATGTGAGTAACTACATAGGAGTGGATAGCTGGATCATAAGGCAAGACTACATTTAGCTTTGTAGGAAACTACCAAACCAGCTTTTGACGTGGCTGTTCCATTTTACATTCCCACCACCATTAAGTACGAATTTCTCTTTCCTCACTTCTTCATCAGCATTTGGTGTTGTCAGTGTTTTTGTTTTGTTTTGTGTTTTAATTTTAGCCATTCTAATAGGTGTGTCAGAACTGACTCGATTAGCACTTCACAACACAATAACAATAGGTGTGTAGTAGTATCTTAGTGTTGTTTCAGTCCCCTTATTTTTTTAAAATTGTTACACTTTATAAAATATGACAAAATTATTTTGGAGTTACTCAAATCTTTAAATACCAGTAAGTATTAAATATCCTTCTATTTGGTATTTTTCTCCTGTAAGAGCTTAACTTCTGAACTTACCTTCTTGTCTTTGTACATATAAG